CTGGCACCACAAGGAGTACATTCACTTCATTGTCAGAAATGACAAGAGTTTTGCCACGAGCAAGACTAGCACATGTGAGGAAAGTGCCAGAGCCTGGCTCCAAAAGTTGAAGCAGCTTGAGTCACCCCCCCAACATCCCCAGGGGTAAGGTCTGGCTTTCCAGCCGTCCCAAGAAAGGAAGCTACCAGGAGAAGCCCCAACTGTCTCCCAGGGAACTCCCTCCCATCTAGCTGCAGGGGAACATGTACATTTACCACAGCTGGTGCTGGAAATGCCCGCAGTGGCAGGCTTGGAGGTATCCTTAGAGGTGGTGGCCATCCTGGGAGCACAAACTGAGATCCAAAGGGTGAGGCCGTGTGTCTCCGTTGTATAAGAATTTATTTGTGTCCCATTGCACTGCCAGACTGACATAAATATAATGGAAGGTGAATGACATGCAAATGGCGCCTCATAAATCCAAATGTAAAAGAAGTGGTGACCCACACACCTCGGTCCAATGTATCGAATTCATCCTTTTATCCGTTGTATAAGAAGGTGTAGGGGAAGAAGTGACAAAACACCTGAACAATCTGATTGGATGCAGGCATTGTTCAGGTATTTTGAGAGCCAGCTGGGCCGACTAGCAATATACTGAAGCTTGGCCCAGTGGGAGATTCCTCCTTTACATCGTGCGATGGTTGTAAGGTAATTAAAAGCTCGTATGATCTGCCCATCTTGGACAGGCAGATCGTACTTGCGATCATCGCAAGTCCGCCCCGCTGAGGGGAGGGCTTCCGATGACTGCAATGCTGAGCTTGCGCGCACTTAAAAATAAGACACTGTCTTATTTTCGGGGAAACACGGTAACATGTCAGGAAAAAAAAATCAAAAACAGAAATCACTGAGTTGGAAAAAGGATCATGCCCTGTGTCAGTATTTTGATGAACAACCTTTTGCTTTAATTACAGCCTTTAGTCTGTTGGGATATGTCTCTACTAACTTTTCACATCTAGACTTTGCAATATTTGCCCACTCTTCTTTTCAGAACTGCTCAAGTTCAGTTAAATTTGATGGTGACCGTTTGTGGACTGCAGTCTTCAAGTAATTCCACAGATTTTCAATGGGGTTTAAGTCTGGGCTATGACTAGGCCATGCAAGGACATTCACCTTCTTCTCGTTCAACCACTGTGTGGTCATTTTTGCTGTGTGTGCTTTGGGTCACTGTCATGTTGGAAGGTAAATCTTCTTCCCATTGACAACTTTCTGGCAGAGGGCAGCAGATTGTCCTTGAGAATTTGACGGTATTTTGCCCCATCCATTTTTCCTTCTATCCTGATAAGTGCTCCAGTCCCTGTTGCAAAGAAACACCCCCATAACAGGATATTAACACCTTCATGATTTACTGTAGGAACGGTTTCATTTAGATGGTGAGCTGTATTGGATATCTGTCATACATATTGTTTGGTGCTGAGGCCAAACAATTCAATTTTAGTTTCATCTGACCATAACACCTTTTTCCATGTGGCCTCAGAATCTTCAAGGTGCGTTTTGGCACAGCTCAGTCTTGACTGCATGTGGCCTTTCTTGAAGAGAGGCTTTTTTTCTTGCAACCCTCCCATACAAGCCACATTTGTGGAGAATTTGTGATATTGTTGTCACATGCACACAATAACCACTCTTTGTCATAAATTCCTGCGACTGCTTCAGAGTTGCTGTAGGCCTCTTAGTAGCCTCCCTGGCCAGTTTCCTTCTGGCTCTTTCATCCAGTTTGGAGCGACGTCCTGATCCAGGGAGGGTCTGTATTGGAGCTAATACCTTCCACTTCTTAATGAGCAACTATAGTGTGCTTCAAGGTATTGATAAACCCTTTGCCACCCTTTGCTTCAGTTGCACTACCAGGGACTGAAATGCTTCAGGAAAGCTCTTTTCATGCTAAACTAATCAAAATGACCCCCACAGCTGATCACAGTTAAAAGTGAAATGGCTTTGTGTGCCATTGAGAAGGTGATTAGCTACACCTGATTGAGTTTACAAGTCATTTTTAGGACTGTCGCTCTGATAAAGGATCCCTGTGCGGACCCGAAACGTTAGGACCGTATGACAGTATGTGACATTGGGTATTGAATAAACATATCAATACTCTAAAACCCTTCAAGTGTGTGCCGGTGAATTACTTTTATTTGCTATTAGTGTTTTGCACGGCGCCATCCGTGTGGTCACCTGGGCACCACATGTACGTTGTGGTTTTGAGACCTTCGCAGTAAGAATGGGAATTGTATTTTATTTTTAGGAGGGTGTGATCCTTTTTCTAACTCATTGATTCTGTTTTTTTGTTTTTTCTGACATGTTGGTGTTGTTTTTCACTTGGATGTTATAAGTTGCACTAAGTAAATACAGCTGGATAAAACAAAAACTGTGTCTGTCTTCATTTCAGGCTGGAAAGCAACAAATTGTGATTATTTTAAAGGGGGGTGATTCTTTTCTGTACCCACTGTACTTTTGTTAAATCTAAAGAAGATTGTACAGAGATGTGACAATCAAATTGTGTAGTGTATGGCCAGATTTACATTCATTCAGTGGGAATAAGCTGTGCGCGTCCATACGCCATGCACAAAAGAGCACGATTTCACTAAACCATGCAAAAAGCACATGTTCCATTGGCAGTGCCATTATAGATAAAGACACCCAAAAGATGTGCGCTCAAAGTATGTAGAGCTGCAACCAACTAATGGGTTAGCCACTTAAAGACCAGAGTGTTACACCCCCTTCCTGTACAGGCCATTTTTCAGTGTTCAGCGCTGCGATACTTTGACTGACATTTTATCCCGTCATGCAACGCTGTACTGAAATTAATTGTATACCATTCTTTGGGGACAGATAGAGCTTTCTTTTGGTGGTATTTAATCACCACTGGGGTTTTTATTTTTAACTATACAACAAAAAAGTACCGTAAATTTTTTTTAAAAACCTGTTTCTCTATGAAATGTTACGAAACATTTATTATCACCCCAATTTTTTGGTAAAATATAAAAGGTGGGGTCACGTCTGGTAATTAGACACCAAACATGTCAAAATTGTGCGCGCCAACGAAATCGCAGAAAACGATCACACCCAAAATTGGCCATAGGCGACGCTTTGAAAGCTTTTACCGCTCATCAGTTTAGCGTTATTAGTAATTAATGGCCCTAAAATGATTGCTCTCATTCCGGCGCTCGCGGCGATATGTAACATGTGCGGCACAGTAGGCGGAATCGTAGTTTTTACACGTTGGCGCACCCAACGCATGTTTGCGTGTGTATATGGGGGGGCAGGTGACTTTAAAAAAAATGTTGTGTTATTTTACTACTTTTTTTTTATTTGTGACTTTTTTTTTTACACTTAACTTTATGGCCATCACATGGGGGGCTAAGAAATCTCCTATGTTATAGCCAATTCACATAACAGGTCCTCTTTATGGAGACATCAGGGGTCTCTAAGCCCCTAATGTCATCTAGGGACCCCCAGAGAAGCTGATGGAGAGATCTGCTTCAGCAGTGTCTCATTGGCATCTGTAATCGGAGAGTGACACTTAAATGCAGGAAGTGATGTAATATACATCACTTCCTGCATTTGGGGAGCGGAGAGGAGATCAAAGGGAGATTGTGTATTGATCTCTACTTAGAGTCGCCGTGCCAGTCCCAGCCACACCGGATCTCGGGACCGACAGCCGTGGCGACAGAGACGGCCCTCCTAGAAGGCTCCCGCCATGGACGGGATGTGGTTAATCAATTATGAGAATAATTGTCAACTATTCTCATTATCGATTAATTGGTTGGATCCCCGAGCTCTCTCCTCCACGCTGGGAGGAGGGCACAGCAAGCATCGGACGGGTGCAATAGCCAGCCTGCTATTGCAACTTGAAATAGCACCAGCCCACTGCCCACTGTACATAGAGCAGCCCATTTAAACAAATAAGCTGCTCTATGTGCATGCATGACAAACACGCCATTACGCACATTCATGCGTGTAGCATGTATGAATGTGGGCTAAGGCCTTATTCACACTTCTTGCTTATGTTTTTGTTCTCTATAGGCAGAGAGAAATCTATCAGGCTAGATGCTGTGCTTATGCTTGTAGATGCTTTGAATTAAGCGTGTTTACACACAAATGCATTTAGGTGCATCCAGTACATCAAATCACGTTTACAATACATGTTTAGAAGTTTTAAAAAAAATGGATTCCTGGACCCACAGCTAAGATGACTGCAGATAAAAGCATCTAAACACAAAATGTAAATAGATCCAGTGGAGATTGTTAGAATATATATTATATATTTTGAGAAGAAATATATATATATATATATATATAGATATATAGTGCAATATAAATGAGTAAGCCGTTTTATTCCAGTAGAAAAAAAAAAAAATATATATATATATATATAAAAACCAAAGCTGTTTTTCTGGTATAAATGGTAACTCTGCTTCAACTCTTCCACCTTAGAACACACAGCAAGCCGTCTTTGAGAACAGGTACATGAGTACATAGCTCTCACCCAGACCTCTACTAACTATGGAAAACGCACAACCCCCCCTATACATCTCCTACAGCTCAGTGCTCCCAAAGCCAAGCACATTAATGGGGTCCCAGCACAGTGCAAACATTATCATTGTCCAAAATGTAAACATCTACCCTTCAGAATCCGAGTAACACGTGCAACAAACAACAACCCGCTTTACACAGAAACAGCCCTTATCCCCGCCTGCACTAACTATGGAAAACGCACAACCCCCCTATACATCTCCTACAGCTCAGTGCTCCCAAAGCCAAGCACATTAATGGGGTCCCAGCACAGTGCAAACATTATCATTGTCCAAAATGTAAACATCTACCCTTCAGAATCCGAGTAACACGTGCAACAAACAACAACCCGCTTTACACGGAAACAGCCCTTATCCCCGCCTGCATGGGCAGGGTTACGCGAACCCGCACCGGGATCGATGATTGGCGGAAAGGGACCATTCCGCTGCGCATGCGTGTCGCAGTGTGTACTACGATCCGGAAGTGATCTGTGCAAGGTTTGGGTTTGACACGTAGCTACGGAAGTGTGCTGGACTGATAGCGGTTCGGTAAGTTGGTGTGTCTGCGTTGGAGGAAAGTAACAGTTGCTGTGCTGGAGGTCTGTTTTGTCCGTTAGGTCTTCGTTTAATTTCCTGTAATGGCAGAGTTGCTTTTGTTAGTAGGACATCTGTAATCACTTCCCCATCACTTGTGGCCACGTTAATGGTAAACTGCAAAATCAGAAGTGACCCTCTTTCCGGATCTTTATTTTAGCCTATGTAGGAACAAAGGTATCATTTGCAGTTTTACTCATGTGGAAAGCTTTCTATTAGCAGAAACAGCTTGCAGAGTGCTGCTGGTTGCCACCATCTTGGATGTGAGACAAAGCTGTCACCCCCTTTCTCCAGTCATAGTGCTGGTTGTCAGGCTGCTGGCTGTGTGCACCCATTATTGCTGCTCTCTGGGAGATATGAGAGAATTGTGCTCAACTCTCCAATTTAAAGCTGAAGGAATTAAAACTATCAGCATTCTGCTTTATTTTTATGTATATTAGGTGAGCTTGTTTACTTGTAATCATCCACGTGTCGCACCCAGAGGGCCACTGGGAAAGCTGAGATACATTGGAGCTGCCTGTTCTAAATACAGTCAGACCTGTCTTGTGATGGGTGCTGCTGGAGGGACCTGCGAGGAGAAGTCCTGGAGGGTACTTTCATATTTTTTCAATAAATACAAGATGCTCTCTGACTGGAGAGGATGGGTGGATGATGTCACAATTCCCACACCATTCAATCAGAGAATGTCTTGTATTCATTGAAATAAAGACAATCTCTGAATGGCAAAGGTACCAAGCGAGCGACTCCCTAAGTTCAGTATACAGATGCAAGCTCACTCCAGCAGCAGCTGGAAGTGATCAGGTGATACTGTCACTTTGCTCTGCATGGGTGATTTAGGCCTCATGCACTCAGCGATTGAAGCTGTGGATTCTTGTGGCAGGAATCCCAGGTGTGTCCGTACAGATGCGGCCACCTATTCTTCTGGGATGCAATTTCTCTACGTCCAACGACAAGCAACTCTCTCAATCCCTAATCATTCCATGGCTGATTACATGCATACAGATGAGGTCGCTGTCATTCGCTTGAACAGGCATAGCAGCTAGATTTGTATGTGCACACCTGGGATTTCTGCCGCAAGGAACCACAGGAATCACCAACCGCAGCTTTATCGATGTGTGCATGAGGCCTTTAGGTGCTTAATACTGTTAGATTTCTGTTTAATCTGTTTTATCTTTTTTTAGAGCTCCAACCATGTCTAACTTTGATAACTTCAATCAAGATTTCTACCAAACCAGCTATAGCATTGATGACCAGTCTCAGGGATACAATTACAATCCTAGCGCAGGACAATATAACAAGTGAGGCTTTTATTTTGCTGTGTTTTATTTTGTATTGTTTGTGTTCTAAAGGAAAACTACATTTTTACTAAGTATTGAAGTAACATGTATAGAGCTGCAACAATTATTCGATTAAGTAAATTAAAATCGACGATGGAAAACGTTGTCAACGTTTTCCATCATCGATTCGTCGGCTAAAATGCAAATTTCCCGCTCACGCCTCGCCCATGTTGGTTAAGCCGCTCGCGCCACGCCCACGGGATGCCGCTTACGCCACGCCCACCGCACACGCTGAGGACATGCGTCTGGCCCTCTCCTCCCGGTGAGCTTCCTGACTCGCCGCTGCCCGCCGACAACCAACAACGCCGCTGCCCGCCGACACTCGCAATGCAGAATACCACTGACCAGTTATAGAGGAACACCAAATCCCAGCAATAATACATTAAACACCCTGTATAATGTATTATTGCTGGGATTTGTTGTTCCTCTATAGCTGCTAATGTTCTACAGTGTGGTGCTGTATTATACATTGGTATTCTGTAGAGCTGCAACAATTATTAGATTAAGTCGATTAAAATCGATGATGAAAAACGTTGTCAGCGTTTTCCATTGTAGATTCGTCGGCTAAAATTACAATTTCCCGCTTGCCGCTCACGCCCGCCTGTTTGCGGCTCCATACACGAGTTACGCTACGCCCGCCACGGACACCACGCCCACGCTGCGTGCCCACCGCACAAGCCCAACACACGCCCGCTGAGCCTTCCGCCGCCGCTGCAGCGACTTACAACGGTTCAGAAACGGCACAATGGAGAATACCACCAGCTATAGAGGACTACATATCTCAGCAATAATACATTATATACAACGCAATGCAGAATACCAGCAGTTACAGGGGAGTACAAATCCCAGCAATAGTACATTATAGTATAATGTACTATTGCTACATTCCTCTATAGCTGCTGGTATTCTGCACTGCGCCGCTATATAATGTACTATATTGCACACCACACTTTTTTTTTTTACTTCCACCGCGCCAAGCTTGCTCCCGTGAGCTTTTTTTATTTTTATCCGATTAACAGATTAATCGAACTGAATAATCGGCTAACTAATCGATTATGAAAATAATTGTTAGCTGCAGCCCTAAACATGTAATTACCCCACAAGACATGATGCATGTCAAGTAAACTAAACACAAGAACAACAATGGAATCTGATGCAGCTTACTAGACCTTACATGTAGTGGATGCAATAGAATTCTTTTTTTTTTGTTTGTTTTTCAGGCTTTTAGCTTTACTCTTCCCTTGTTATCCTACCAGTAACACTTCTGTCCTAGGGTGACAAAAGTCATTCTACTGCAGCGGTCCCCAACCTTTTTGGCACCAGGGATCGGTTTTGTCGAAGAAATGTTTTCCACAGACTGGGGTGGGGGAGTGGGGATGGAGGTTTGGTGCATTGCACATGTGAGGGGAAGCAGGTCCATAACATTCACAGCCAAGGCAAAAATTAACACACGGACATATGTGCGGTGCAGCGACTGGCTTTACAGGCTCTCGTGTGTTAATTTCTGCCTTGGCTGTGAATGTTGTGGACCCACTTTCCCTCACATGCGCAGTTGCCAGTGACATTTCTGGACCTGCTGATCTGCAGCTGTGAGCTTGCGTATTCAGCCAACACCCCCAGGAGTGACGCACCAGTCCGTTTTATAACAGACCCAGGATTCTACCAGAAATCGGAAGGAACCAATGAGAGTTCTGGGGCGTCATGGATGACAAAAAAAAAGTCTATAGACACGGCGCTTTAAAGTAAACTTGTTCTGGGGAAGCACAGAGACTGCCGTTGCTGACCTCTCTACCTGAAAATGACCGTTACCTGGCTGTCATGGGCATTTGCTGGCTTCACTACTGATCCTCAGGTTAAAGTGTATGTAAAGCGATAAGTTGTTTTTCTTTTTTTTTTTTTTTTCTCAATTCTGGATGAAGTGTGGAAGAGTTGGATCCTCGGTCAGGTTTTCGTCTGTGACCTCGCTGGGGAGATTCACCCTCTCTTTGTTCTGGTGGCCCTTATCAGAGAGAAAGTGATGGGAAATCCAAGTTATTACAGAAGTAGAAGAGAAATCTATTAATGGGGAAACCTGGTGATAGCAGTTTACATCTTTAGAGAGACCTCCTGTTGTGTCCCTGGGACAGAAAGTGAAGAGAAATCTGTAACAAGACACAGACGACTGGACATAAAAAATAAATAGTTCCTGTCACCACCATCTGCTATCACATAGGGGGCTTGTAAGCCCCCCTATGTGATAGCAATCAAAGTAAAACAAAATAACAGTTTTTGAAATTAAATAAAATACATCTAAAAATATTTTTTTTAAAACTTTGGTATCGCCGCGCACGCCAGAGTGAGAGCAATAATTATAGGGACAATATTTTTGGGTATCTCTGAATTGATGACCTGTGGGGGGCTTTTAAAGCGACTTCCATGGACTTTTTGGGGTACTGAGGTTTGTCGCCGTTTCACGGACGCCCACAATTTGTAACCTGGGTATGTTGGGTATCTCTCGATCCCTTACAGTCCGGCTTTCGCCCCCTACACTCCACTGAAACCGCCCTCCTAAAACTCACTAATGACTTAATAACAGCTAAACACAATGGCCACTATTCCTTACTCTTGCTATTAGACCTTTCTGCTGCTTTTGACACCGTGGACCACCTGCTCCTCTTCAAAAAACTCTACTCACTTGGCCTACAAGATTTTGGGGCATTTAAGTACATTTTCACTAAATTTTGGGGTTTGATAAGGAGTTGCGCTAATATCCTGCAACATAAAAATTTGCAACTGCCACCATTGCATTCTATAGGGTATTGGCTTTCAGAAAATATATAATGTTTGGGGGTTTTAAATAATTTTCAGGCCTAAAATGTGGAATATAACATGGGTGCAAAAAATGAAGGGAAAAAAGGCCTCAGTCATGAAGAGGTTAAATATGTGCCAAAGTGTTTGGGCCAAGTTGTCATTGTCTTTTTTAAGTTTATAGATTTCAAACATTTTATTTTCTTTCAGTAGCTATACAAAATGTATTTTGCAAATACATATTTAATACATGACAAATCATTATAGAGCACTGTGGGTTAACTAAAGTGAGGTCATAGTAAAACAATCTGCCTTTTGGCTTACGTTGAGTGAAACGTCAGATAAAGTCACTCGATAAGGTTGCATTTCTCTGACAACAAAGGAGATGGAGGAAATCATGAAAATGTCCTACATTTCAACTGGATTGAACTCTACATATTATGCAAAATGTTATATTTACAAGACTACATGTCAGTCTATGATTGGCTTGCACTTTCCGTGTAGTCACTTGGCACAAACAATTTAGTTAATCGCCAGGGTTCAAACTGAATAGAATAGAGCTGGAGTCTTCCTGTCTGCTGCCACTGCTGTATGTTTGATTGGGACTTTAATGGTCCACACTTATTTTAATAAACTTTTTCTGTAGACAACATTGGAGATATAGATCTTATATAGCATAATGTTTGTTTGGATTTTATTTCTGTATACAGACAACATCATTATGACTATGGTCAACAAGGTGGTTTCATGCCTCCAGACATGATGAATCAACAGCAGCCTTACACAGGACAGATCTATCAGCCAGCACAAACCTACACTCCTACTTCCACAGAATCTGTGTATGGAAGTTCTTTTGATGACGAACCACCTTTACTAGAAGGTAAAATCTTTGGTTATTACATACTGTATATTGCTGCATTATGGCTACACAGAAAACATACATACATACATACATACATACATACATACATACATACATGTAAACCTTTACTTAAAAAACATAATATGCTCTTGTTCCGTATCGGGCTTAGAATGGATTCCAAATGCCCCAAATGTGGTTTTCATCGTGGCTCCCTGATTCACCTGCTATGGAGATGCCCTAAGCTGGTTCGGTATTGGGATCAGATTGTGGATACCCTTAATCTTGTATTTACATCCTCAGTGACAAACTCCTCATTAACGTGTATTCTGGGCATTGTGGACTCTGACAATGTTGCACATCACACCACTATAGCATTTAAACGTGCCTTATTTACCACAACCAGGTTGGTGGTCCGTAAGTGGATCTCCCCCTCCCTACCTACTTTGAACTCATGGCTAGTAGAACTGGATAGGCTGGTTGCGTACCAGAGGGTTACTTTTCAACAGAGGGGTACCTTGCCTCAGTTCCACTCTCTGGGACAGCTGGCTGACGTACCGTGGTCAGGACATCTCTGACTAGTCAGCTCGCACGCATACTCACTGTGGATACCGGTGGCTAGACCTGGTTTCTCCTATACGTAGTCACTTCCTTAAAGAGGAAGGTGTTGGCTCACTGCACAGTGTTCCGTATGTACTATTTTTCACAATGTGCTTGTTATAGTCTATGTTTAACTTACTCTCTCACCAGTGGACAGCCTATTTTTGTCAAATTTTGATATCTGCATGACACTATGCTTCCCTCCCCTTCTTTTTTTATTTGTCTGTTAGTTTGATCTTTTTTTTTTTTTCTATTTGTCTAATGTACCTGAAAATGTGCAAAATCAATAAAAACTATCTGATTTAAAAAAAAAAAAAACCATAATATGCAGCATTGACAAATCTGTAGTGTAATCCATTTATACAATACAATCTAATTCTGTCATTGCATATTTAGAGAGACTGTGAGACGTTCTGCTTGTTTTGTTACCTTCCACGCACATACAGGCTTCTTTTATCATTTCCATTTAGCTTTCTGATAAAACTCCTGGGTGCCAAACATATTGAGTTTGTTAATAAGGTGTCTGAGGAAGTAATTTACTCTAAAGGGTTTTATTCTACATATACAAGTTATTGCGTCACTAATTCGTGGTTTAAATTTAAAGTGACATTAAAGTCCCATTTTTTTCTCATATATCTACTGCTAGTAAGCAGTAGATATATGTAAAAACATTTTAAAAAAATACAAAAAGTTACCAACTAGATAAGAACTTACCACGGTCTCGCCGCTCGCTCCCGGCTGCAGATCTGTAGCTTCTCGAGCGGCCGTGCAGGAGGATGTGTGCGGGCATGCGCAGTGGAGATCATTGGCGGGGAGAGGAGGAGAGACACGCTGCAAGTCCATGCACGCAGCCGTGAGCGTGCACGCCGGACAGACACCGTGGTATAGGAAGAGACAGCAGTCTGCGCTGGATCAGGGACGGGCACCAGCTCCGGAGGGATTGGATGAAGAGGCATCGTCAGGGGGCTGGATCATCCGATATCTCAGGACCTAGTTTGAATCTATCTAGTGGTGTACTATCCCCTTTGTTTGCATTTGTTTGCACAATTATCATTGTTGCACATTGGACTTTGTTTTTATCACTTTGTTCTCATCTTTTCATGTTTTGATATGCTCTATTGTATATATTTTTTAAAGCATATACTTCTATATCTTATTGTTCTATCACATATTTTCCTGAATTGTATATATTTATTCAGTTCGGCACATGATTTTGTTATACATGTTTTAGATATTTTTTTTTTTATTTATCTTGAGTGCCTAGTAGCTCTTATTTACAATTATTTCCTGGCGTTGATCACATATTGTTTATATAAATCACTAAATATAGTTGGCTATAATGGAGATAAATCAGCACCGAGTGTTACTGTTCTATAGACAATGATATGTACGGAGGACCCATTCACACTAAAGCTTTCCGTTGCGGTGTATTAATGCGCATGCATTATAGCACGCGTTGACATGGATTGCGTTAAGGCAGTGCATTCAGTATGAATGAGCTGGCAAGGCACCACATTGGATTAAAAAACTTAAATAACTTTTTTTTTCTTTTTCAAATGCAGCAAACTGCAATGCACAAGTGTTGTGGTGCACTTCGGTGCGCACTGGGGTGTCATTCACAACACATGGCACCACTCAGAGCAGGTGCATTGCCATGTGCTGTGGTACTGCATGTTAATTTGTGTGTTTTAGTGCATGTTGCCACAATGCACAAGTGTGATTGGGTCCTGATGGTTATGAATTTCTGATACAAAGATAGGATTATATCCTTTTCATTTATGGCCATGCTCAGTATCATGGTTAATGGTTGCCAAAGTCTATGGATGTGTTTAGGTAGCATTTCATATAATTTCTAGCTGTTATGAGTTATGTTGGCTATAGCTAGCAGCAGGTTTTTGCAGTTATTGTTTACAACTAGATAACATTGGCAACAGGGACGGATTGGTCTACATTGGAAGTTCATTTAAAAAGTAATCTTTAAAAAAAAAAAAAACTTTTATTGTATTGCTTACTCAACTGTTTGTATTTATTCCGCAGAGCTTGGAATCAACTTTGATCACATATGGCAGAAAACCCTAACCGTGCTCCACCCTTTAAAAGTAGCAGATGGCAGCATCATGAATGAGACAGACTTGGCAGGTCCAATGGTTTTCTGCCTTGCTTTTGGAGCTACACTACTGCTGGTATGCCTATTGTCTTTTTAACCTTCTAATTGTATTGTATATCAAGATATCCTCTTATTTCGTCCATGGGAGTATAAATCTAATGTTGACTTGCAGGTATATTTGGGGAAATAAGTTGTAGACTCGTTGAGTCAGGACTATCACTGGAGTGAACATGTTATATGTATGTACAATGGGAGAGCACTGCAATAAAAACCTGTTAGTAGTGGGGAGTTTATCGAAACGTGTACGTGAAAGGAAGGAATTGATAGGAGTGCCATCAGAGTTGTGCAGTTACCCCCATGTCTTGTACCCCTTTTTCTTTTTAAAATTAGATGGATTCTATTACAGGGATACCCATATATTGATAAATAAATCATAAGACGTCTAGCCCCCCTAGAGACCCCTCAGATTTAGCGAGGAGGTACCAGGTTGAGTATTGAAACGGACATCACGTCCTTCAGTTGAGTAATAGTCAGTTCATGCTTGGGCAAGCTTTCTGATTCCCCTCTCGAGTGCATTCAACTTATGCCTGTATGCAAAAATCTACCATGGTGATGAGATTGAAATGCAAATGATAAATAGTGTTTTGAGCAAGCATGTATTTTACAGTCTGATTTAAGAAAATCTATGTTTATGATTTTAAAAAAAATGGAGGTACTGAAAAAAAATACCTTTTAACAATCTTTAATTGTTACAGCACAAATCTTGTAAACAAGCACACAAATAAAACCACATTTGTATGGTATTAATTTTATACACTATTATGGCAGGAATATGAAAAGTACCAACACAATAAGTAATACTCGATAAATATTATTTGAATAGCATGTTCTAAATGTGCTTTTAAGGCTGGGAGGTATTTTAAATGGTTTAATCGTGTCTTTCTTTACAATATTTGTGCTATAACAATTAAATGTATTTTGCATAGAAAAAAGTAATTTGTGATATATGTACGTATTTTTCAGTATCCCTCAAGCCTTAAAGGAGAACTATGGGGTCAGTGTTTGTTTTTCCCCATAGTTCTCCTTAGGCTTCTCAATGGGGCAAAGGGTCCTGCTATCGCAGGTTGTGTGTCGCTACAGCAGGACCCTTTTTGGAGCGGATTTTGCCGCGATTCCATTCTTTGCAATGCAAGCATTTGCGCGATATCGCGCAAAATGCAAATCGCGCAGTGTGAATGGGGCCTTAGGGTAACGGGAGGACACAAACTAGCGCCCTCCTGTTACCCTAAGCTCAGTATACTGCGAGCTACACAGGTCGGCTAGAACTATGAGGTGAGTGGAAATCACTCATCTCATAGTTCTCCTTTAATTTCTATTTTAGGAAATCTGCACAGATAGTTTGAGTAATGTATACATCAGTATGATATTTCCAAGTATCACCATTCTTTAGGACGCCAGGTAGTGTTATATTGATCTTAATTTACATTCATTTGTTTCTGTTCTGACAGGCGGGAAAGATCCAGTTTGGCTATGTTTATGGAATCAGTGCGATTGGCTGTCTTGGGATGTTTTGCCTTCTTAACTTGATGAGTATGACCGGCGTTTCCTTTGGCTGTGTTTCCAGTGTCCTTGGCTACTGTCTCCTGCCTATGATCATCTTGTCTGGCTTTGCTGTAATCCTTTCTTTGCAGTAAGTAACACACAACCATTCCCTCAACCTTTTTTGGTAAAGATGTTTTCCTCAAATGTTAGCTTCCGTTTTCCAGTGTGCACCTAGAAATTGGATATTAGATTCTAAAATAACACCTAACAAAGTAATAGCCATGACTTTCCATTTCCCTTAAAATCCCTTTACATTTTTTGTAAAAGTGTATTGCTAAAGTGGAAGTAAAGCTTAAAGGAGAACTATGGGGTCAGGGCTTTTCCCCTTAGTTCTCCTAAGGGTCACGGGAGAACACAAACTAGTGTTCTCCCGTGACCCAAAGCTCAGTATACCGCGAGCTACAGCTCACGGTATACTGAGACGCCGGAACGTATCTTGACATTGCTGTCGAGATCCACCCAGCTGCGAGATTTACAGCTGGTTCTGCCTATCCAGAGGCAGGGCCAGCTGTGCCTGCCCCCTTCCCTGTCCGTTTCGCCAGTCAGCGCTAGAGGATCTTTGCGGGGAATCCCTGCAGGGAGCCGTGAGTGACAATCACGGCTCTCTGCAGGGATGGATCGAGAAGTGAGCGAGCGGCGGTATGTGTTTGCTCACTTCCCGATCTACTGAGCCGACCTGTGACAGTTTCATTGTCACAGGTCGGCTCAGATTATGAGGCTGAGTGAAGATCACTCGCCTCATAATTCTCCTTTAAAACAAAACTGGTTGGAGACTGTGTACGTCTTTTCTGCCATAAAAGCTTCTCTCCACCTGTCAGCAATTGCCCTAAGACGGGCATCTGCAGCTCAGCGCACAGACCCGACATGCCGAGATGAAGTAACTCCTGTGCATGCGCATTAGTGTAGCCTGGATAATCAAATGGCCAAACTTGCTAGAAAAGACTGAAGAGAAGACAGAAGCACCGGCAAGGTAAGAGAGCATCGCTGGAGGGGATCACTATGGCAAGCAAGTCTCTCAAAATGTGCTAAAATGCTCCAGAAAGGGATGTTTAAATGCCTTTTTACTTCCGCTTTGAGAAATTACACAAAAGAACACATTGTATAAACTACAAAGTTATTATCAGCTGTAAAAGATGATGCCGAGTGTAATGCAGCTAATTAGACTTAAAGTATATCTAAGCATATCTGCTATATGCTCTATGACAACTCACACATTTGACTTTTTTCTCATTTTCAGTACAATGAATCTCCCCAATGGTGACACAGACAGCAATACAAACCTTAGAGTACAAATGGTCAGCACACCTAAAGTTACAGACATTGTAATTTATTCAGGTCTAAGTTACAATGACAATGTGCAAAAATAAAACTGTTTGTTTTTTTTTACTTTTGTTTCTGCACAATGTAATTGAAACTTAGACTTTGGTTAATTACAAGGTCTATAACTTTTTTTTCAAAATTAACATTTTATTAAAGATTTATACGTCTTTAGATTATATCTAAAGACATAAATCAATAACTAGAATAAAGTATTTACACTTCTGTAAATTTAGGTGTGCTGGCCATTTGTTCATTTGCATTTTCACTGTACCACCATAGGCCAATCACCCTCCTATTGGTGTTAAACCCTTATGGAAATACCCTATGCAGTCTCTAAACACCATTCCATAATCCTAAAAGAATCTGATTTTACAGATTTGCATTTATGCTCCTTCCATACCTGTAGGGCCTTTTGCACAGGGAGTCAGGACCCCAAAAATCCTGCCAGTTTTCAAAGCTCCTTCCTGTTTTCTCTCCACGAAGGACCAGCCATTTGGACAAGTGCCCCTAGAGGTACAGTGTGAGCACCATCCTTCTCCCCGGGCCACTCGCATGTGGACTGCTCATAAACTGGGTATCAGAAAAAGGACAGTGCACACTGCTGTACCGCTACGGGGCACTTGTCTGAACGGCTGGTCCATCGTAGAAAGAAGACTGGATAGAGCTTTGAAAGCTGGCAGGATTTTTGGGGCAGGCTTCACTTTTTTCGCAAATGGCCAGGCATGGAAAGAGCATAAATGCAAATTGTAAAATCTAATGAATTTAGGTTTATAAAATGGTGTTTAGGGAATAGGATATTTTTCTATAAAAGTGAACTAGGAGATAGCTGAGAAGATGTACTGTAACTAATAACAGTTTACTACATACAGTATTACTATTGCATTTCCCTTGCAAATGATAGGCAGTAATTTAAGGAAATGTCAGGCATCAGTTATTCCACTCATGTCTCTTTAGTATAGTGTAGAAAGAGGCTGCGATCATGCAGTTACTGATAATTATTTACATCCTCTGCTCTTTGTTCCATGAAGCCCACAGACGTACTTAAATTTTACTGTAAACTGTACATTTGCAGAAAGAAGTCTTCATCTGGTACAAACAGGAACTCGTCGATGATTGCATGACTGTGGCTTCTAAAATGGGGTCTAAATCTCCTGAGTTCTTGAAGCAAGCTTATCACCACTGATTTTAATGAATGGGGGGGGGGGTATTTCTGTGTATGCAGAGAAAACAGGTCATGTGACACTTTTCTGTCATGGAGTATTCTGTGCAGAATTATTTAAAGAATACTCTGATGGACGCACCATGTCCTGCTTTTTTGACAAGTAGAATTAATGCCCGCTGTGGCGTAAACACTGTGATGCTAAAATCGGGAGGGTAATAGACACGGACTTAGACACTACAACATTACAGGAGGACCTGGATAAAATGGGAGTGGGCAACTATTTGGCAGATGAGGTTTAATGTTGATAAATGTAAAGTAATGCACTTTGGGGTTAATAATAGGCAAGCAGAATACACATTAATGGGAACTCCACTAGGGAAGTCAGAAATGGAAAAAGATTTGGGGGTCATTGTAGACCACAGATTGAATAGTAGCTTGCAATGCCAGGCTGCTGCAAACAAAGCAAGCAGAGGTCTGTCTTGCATTAAAAAGGGAATGTACTGTAGAGACAAATCTATAATTTTGCCACTTTATAGATCACTGGTTCGGCCTCATCTGGAATATGCGGTCCAGTTTTGGTCGACGATTCACAGAAAGCATGTCCTTGAGCTGGAGAGAGTCCAGAGAAGGGCAACTAAACTAATTAAGGGGATGGAGAACCAAAGTTATGAGACAAGGTTACTAATACTATGTAACTATGGCTTCCTGTGGATAGTTGTATCTGCCCATATATTTCTTCTAAGTGAAAGCTATTTAGGTTGTACAAGTCCAAAATAAATGTCCCCGTTTGTGTAACCTGCACTGCATGTACACACTAATGAGCATCTGGAAGTTCAGCATTGGTATTTGTCTTGACGGAACACTATTTATCTGTATACTAGGAACCTTCAATGTGTAAACCTGTCATTAAGACATTTCTTTTTTTTTTCTCAGAGGGTTTGTCGGTGTTCTTCTCACAGCTTTGATCATTGGATGGTGCAGCTTCTCCGCCTCAAAGATTTTCATTTCTGCTTTAGCCATGGAGGGACAGCAATTCCTGGTTGCCTATCCTTGTGCTTTACTTTATGGAGTGTTTGCTCTTATTTCTGTGTTTTGAACTGAATATTCCAGTTGGACTACAATGGGCCAAACAATCCTGAAGACAATTTCTCCTGTTTTTAAGGATTAGTGAACTCCTGTTATATGCACGTGCTGGGGGCAACAATGGAAAAATAAATGACACAAATCCGATTTTCATGTTTTATACAGAACTTTTAAATGCTAAATAGACTCAGAATATCTTTCATTGTACTCAAAGCTTTCCGTTTAGAAATTGAATCTTTCATGTTGTTTACGGGGAAAAGTAATTGAGGATTCTACAATGACATATGCTGAATTCAGCCGCAGTATGACAGTGGAGTAATTGTTTAAGAAGTTGTGCATTTTATAGTGCTAAAAATCAGTGTGAGCGCACGCATCGTCTGTCAAATTATTATTTGTCTATGAAGCAGGTTATTTTCAGTTATAAAAACGACTTATTTAAGTTATGCTACCAGATTTCTTTAAATTAAAAATGTTTTGTTCCACTTCCTGAAAATACATTGTAATGGCTTATATTTCTTTTTACTCTGTCCACTTGTATCATGTCAGATATGATGAACTTTATGGCTTCTTCACATTTTCTTTCCTGTGCCTTGCACAAATTTTTGTTTTTCTTCAGGCTGTCCATGCCTTGGTTAAAGATCCCTTTCATCACCGTTAAAAAGCTAAAAGACCATGCAATTAGAAAGAATTTCCTAGTGCACCACAGCTTGGTTTGCACATGTTGGAATGCCCTCTTCAGGGACCCATGGCAAACACCTCCTCTCTGGTAAACACATTTGCACTTCACAATATAGAATGTAAATATCAGTAAATGCACCCTAACTTTACATGTTTTACATGTTTTAACGTGGTGCATTGCTAACTTAATACACTTATGTACTGGTGGACCTGTATCCAACACAAATCTTATAGTGATTTGTTTTAAACTAGTATAAAAAATGCACAAAAGCCACTAAAATTTCCACATTAAAATAACTAATCCAATCTCCAGTCTGTGGAAACCTTCAGTTTTTTCAGCATTTCTTCATAAAAACTGCACCCCAGCCAAATTTGAGTTGCAATACTTTTTACTCAATACTTTTTAGCTAGGCATTGCACCAATCTAGTAATCTTAAAACCAGGGTGCAACTTAGAACTTGTAGTCAGGGGAGCAAATGCAAGCAACTGACCCTTTCACAAAAGGCCCTATCTACATGCAGGCCTTACCAATGTCAAACATTCCAAAGCTATTAGAAAGTACAAATAACTCTGTTGCTATCATGTAAAAGATACAGATAAATAAAAGGTATATGGTACAGAATGAAGCAGTGTGGTTTATGGAATGTACAGCATCGCATGCAAAATGGGGTGGTATGAAATAGGAAATGTACAGTGCATTCTACAGAATTAATTAGTAATGAACAGGGAATGCTGATATAGGGAATGTACAGCACAGCATATAGAAAGAGAAGGTGTGGAACAGGAAATATACTGCACAATGTGCAAAATGAGGCAGTGTGGGATAATAAATGTAAAACACGTCGTACAGAAACATCTGCGTGGAATAGATAGTGTACTGCACATTGCGCAGACTGAGTTGCTGTGGAATAGAAAATGTAAAGCACTGCGTATAGAATTAGGTGCTGTGGAATAGGGAGTATACCGCACAGCAAACAGAATGGGGCGGTGTGGAATATAAAATGCAAAGCGCAACATACAAAACGGGCATTGTGGAATAGGGCATCTACAGCACTGTATAGAATGAGGTGGTTTGAAATGGGGAACGTAAAGCACAGCTTACAGAATGGGTAAAATGCCAGCCCACTCAGATTCCATGAGAGTATGCAAGGTAAACCTAGCATCACGGGCTGCACTGCATGGTAAAACCACTGTATTTCTGCATGTGCAATTCATTAATTTATCCTAATTCCTCAGTACACATTCACATTTAGTTACATGCCTGTATCTTTTCAAACCAGAAAGAGAAAAATGTTTGCAGATTCTTATTAATTTAATTTGTTTACTTCGAGAAATACTAAAATATTTGGTAAACATAACGAGCAACGAAAAAGGAATTATTCAAGCCCTTCATAATAATTTACTAAAATGCCATTAAAAATATATCCGTGAAATCTGCATACAGCTAAGTCTCGGCATTAACTGACACCCTGTTCTTGGAAGGATTTAGTTACCAATTCCGTGAACGCAGAGTACATTTGATATACAGATGCAAGTTAGAACAAGAAATGCCAAGTGCGGCAGCCTTTCATGGAAGTCCTAGTTTCACTACTGAAAGTGCCTATGTGACATGATTTGGTTCTTCAGTAGCAAAGCTCCAATAGCTCTATGTAGTATTAATTTATCTGGCCCAGATGACTAAGATTAATTTGAATGCAATTGCCCTGGCAGGAGAAAACTGTAGGAATTTGTGACTTTTTGACTGGCTAAAAATTCAGTATGTTAAGCACAGTTGTGCTCTTTACTTTAAAGTGAACCTGTGGGTAAAATAAAATTGCAAAGCTAACGGCAGTAGCATATAACGGAGCATAAAGTAAAATAGCAGTGCTAAAAACAGCAGCAGGTATCTGACAGTATATGCAGTCAGCACATGTTGCCTGCTGCAGAATCTGGATTCACACTGTTCCGGGTGCTTTGCAGGGCATATGGTGATGCACATGCATTGGGATGAATAAGCCGTAGATTTTTCCTTTCCCATTTTCATATAGCAAAATGCATGAGTTTTGCTGCATGAAAACAGAAAAGTGAAAATAGGCCCTTAATCCAACACTGCCAGGGGCCTTCTTGAAGCAAGTTACTCTCAAATGGGCTGTCTGAGTAAGCACAGGCACTGCTTCAACTTGACAGTGCATTGGCCTATGACTTTGTAGGGTGAAACATGCTAGAAAGGGATGGGGACTGTTAGTTTGGTTAGTTTCAATAAAGCTGATTTTATACAGTGATGTCACTGGTGTGTGGCTGACTGGGACGTTTGTACCTTTGTTCATGGTTGTTGCACCAGTAGCATTTTAGGTTTGAAACTATAGTTCATTAATCTCAGCTGTAGTTTACTCACCTACTGGGTCTTCCTTTGTGGATAGCTGATTTTCTTAAAGCTGAAATAAACTTTAGATTTAACCCCTTCATGACTGAGGCCCTTTTTTCAATTTTTGTGGGGGGGTGGCCCCTTCTTCGGGACGCAGAAGCGATCTGGCGACAGGTAAGTCGCCAGGATCGCTTCTGTTGTAAAGCCGACAGTCGGCTCTACAAGTTTAAACAGAGCCCCGGCGGCAAAAGTCGCCGGGAGTCTGTTTAAACAGCCCCGATGCTGGCGACGTACACTACGTCGTCAGTCACGAAGGGGTTAAAAAAAATGAAGGTAAATTTAATATGTTTTTTCTTTTTTTACACTGCTTGCCATACATGCTCAGCACAGTGTACAATCTTGGCATCAATCTGGCTTCTATGGACTAAAGTTAAATATTCATCAAAAGTGTACGGTAACTGAACGTTCACAATTTTTTAAAAGATATACAGCATATCATTTGTCACTTTTATGTAATGATATTTCCACTGGTTTCACTGCTTAGAAAGACGCACGGTTTCTTTTTTACAACATCGTGTGACTATGTGTTGTGCATGGTTGGCCCTAGAAAATACAACATTTCCTTTTTTAGATTAGCCCGTAGACTTAGACTGGCCGCACACTAATAAGATTTTGCTTAAACCTGTTAGATCAGTGACATTAACCTATAACATAAAGAATAACAAAGGAATAACTATTGAATTGATTACATTTATATACACAGGTAGATCTTTACAATGTATTGATAAATCTGCTAATCTAACAGATCAAATAAAACAAGAACGACCTGACCGCATGTGATGAACTCCCGCCGCATAATGAAGCATCTGACAGATGGCGGCAAAATAAAAACAATTGGGAGGAGCTAGTGACATTGGCCTGACACCTGCCGTGACGTCACGGGTGGCTCCACCCAGTTGTTATTGTTTAATGACAGATCAGCATCCCCAGGCCATTTGAGGACACTGATCTGTCATTACAACTGGGTGGAGCGAGCTGTGACATCACAGCTGACTCCGCCCAGCTGCCATTTGCCCTTTGGCCGACCTTTCTTCCCGCCCTGGATGTCACCCTCTCAAAGTCGAGCCGAAGCATTTGCCTTCGGCTCGGCTGCCTTCGTTTGCTGTATGGGCTATTGTGATATTCAGGTATTCAGTCGAACCACAGGTAAGCATCAAGTGTCAGGACAGAGCAACTCCTGTGTGCATATGTAAGAGTTATGTTATCTTTGGCCAACTAATGAGGACGACTGGATGAAGACCAAAGACTCCAGACTTGGAAAAAGAGGTGGATAAGGTGGTGACGAGAGAAAACGCAGATGCCGCATGTCGTTGGGGATGGCAAGAGCCACGAAGTCTCATTTTAAGGATTATGCAAACAGAGGCGGCTCTTGACTTTGTGAGGCCTTAGGCGAAACTCAAATGTGAGGCCCCCACTTACACCCATAATGAAAAATGAACTGTGATGATCAGTGATTAGAGCGACCCCAAGGCCGGTGCAAAGATTTTGCCTACACAGGTCCCCCCCTTCCCGACACCCTCACCCTTATGCTAGCACCAGCCCTGGTCCCATGTAACCTGGGAGGTGAGCTGATTAGGGTTGCCACCTTGTCTTCCAGCAAAACCCGAACACTCTAGCACAGTGCACCATTTTTTTTTGCGGAATATACAGGAGAGCAGGGGCGTATCTGCCGCGAGGCAAACAAGGCATTTGCCTGGAGCGGCAGATTCGCTGAGAGCGGCACTGATGGGATGACGTCGGTCTGGAGAGTGGACGGCGTTGAATTACGGTGAGTCAGTCCGGGGGGTGGCGGATGCTGTCGTAGAGAAGCGTGGGGGTGGCGTTGCTGCCTTGCCTAGGGCAGCACAAAACTTAAATACACCGCTGCAGGAGAGAGAGCAATGGAATACAGCCAGGTGAGAGAGAGAGGAAAAACAGCCAGGAGAGAGAGGAGAGACAGCCAGGAAGGAGAGCGAGGAGAGAGTGAGAGAGTGCTGAGGTGATATGCAGGCACAGCAGGGGGACTAGATTGTCAGGTGCCCAGCATGTATGGTGTGTGGAGTTGCACACTGACCCCATAGTTCTCCTTTAATTAAAGAGCCGCTCCTGGACTCGCTTCTATTTTCTCCCTGTGAGTGTGCGCTGTGTATTACAATCTGCCAGGGCACAAAT